GACCAAGGCTTTTACCATTGACCCACATCATACCTTTTTGCATTTTGTCCATTCTCAAGGCCACTGGATCAGTGCCTTCTGGGGCATCAAAATATGTCTGTAACACACAAAGAAAAAGAAATATATTAGTAATTGAAATATAGGATCAACGAATTTTAAAACCTTAGATCAAATTACTATGTATGAATGATATGAACGGACTAAACAATAATACTTGAACATCAAACAAAAGGTGCAATGATTTAGGCATTGAAAGAATCAGTAAAATAGATATGTATTTACATGAAGATACAAACTACCTACACCGGAATAAAAAAACACTACGAAGCTTCACTATTACCTAAGTTTTTTGGGGTGATAGCAAAAAGGTAATAGATAAGTGGTCTTTTCCAACATTCTACAAAACCGTACATGAGATTTTCACTCTATATGGGTCTTCAATTCTTTCTAATACATTGCCACATTGGGTAATGTATTCTTGATGGTGAGAAATGTATAAAAATACATAATGGAACTTAAGAAGGAAAAAAAAATCTATTTAAGCTTACCTTCAACCAAGTAACAGGTCCTGGTGGCGGACCAGCTAAGGAATTCCATTTCACTTTCTTTGCACCTTCTTCTGTGAATAATTGTTCTTTTTCTCCATATACACCAACCTGAAATAAAAGAATTTTTACTAGTCGATTTAACATTTGATTAAACGTTGTCAAGGATTATTAAATAATTACTAAATATGTGTGAATATGTATACCTCATGTCCCCAAACATTCAAAGTGATATCAAGAGTTCCAGCCATTAAACCTTGAAGTGTCACACCACGGGGTCCTGCAAACCTCTTTTCCATATAGGCTCCGCTATTCTGTAATTATATTCATCAACATTAATTCTCTTCTGTCTTTTTATTCTCTTTTTTAGGTCTCAGGTTCGAGTCTTGAAAATTAAAAAATGCTAGTAGGGAGCTACCGTACATCATGTGAGGGAAAAAAGAAATTATTAAGAAAGAAATAGTACCGGATATCCAATTGTCTCAGCTAAAAGGGTGATGTGATTGATTCCAGGTTTCAAGACGACTGGTTGCCGGAAGACAAAGCTCTTCTCGATATTGTTCCCGTGCCCAAACCCTAAAGGTATGTAATTCCGAAACAAATATTAAGCATTTTTTGGCACATGACTATTGTAAAAATAAGTTTTCTCGTCAATGGCTAACCAATTTACAAAGAAGGTGTGTTTGATGCAACATAAGACATTTTTCACAAAACAATTTCACAAAATGACTTATTTTTTGAAAATATATTTTCCTGAAAAATATTTTTTAATGTTTGGTTCAAATATTAGCATACCGAATAATGTTTGATTGAAACAAATATTTTAGTGTTTGTTAAAGCATGAAGGAAAATGACTTCTATCCAAACGTGGCAAATCATTTTCTCCCTTTTAATAGAAAATGTTGTCCCGGAAAAATATTTGTTGAGAACCAAACATCAAAAGATGAGAAAAATATTTTCTCCAATAATATTTTCTGATATATCACACACACCCAAAGAGAATGTCACAAGGGTATTTGTATAAGAAAACCTACCAACATATTGTCCATTGACAAAGGCAACCAATGCATGGCCCATACTTGCAATTTGCAATACAGGGAGAATATCAGGTCTCATGGGCAAGTCACGTCGATCAAGGTTGATGCTGTGTTATACAAGAATAAAAGTATTTAGAGTAAAGTCGAATAATCAAATAAAAACAATATCAAATAGATTAATTTAATTACCTTGTGCTGTACCAAGCATAGTCAGATTTATCTTTGGTCAAACTGTAAAGTTCCAAGGGATCCCTGTTCTTAAGTGCCAAATCATGTATTGTTGGTACTTTTTCTTGATATATTTCCCATTTTAGATTCTTTGCTTTCTCCGACGGAACAAAGTTTCTTGAATTATGTTGCGAAACAACCTGTATATATAATTTTGATTGTGATAAGAAAATTCTAAAATCTTCAATCATATCAATTTTCTGATTATCTTGATTCTTCACATAAAGTAGGATTCTTACCGTTTGAGTGTTGTAAACCACAGTCTTACAATCAGCAAGAATGCTAATTGATTTCTCAGGCAAGTAATATTCTGCTCCCCTAAATGTAATGTTGGATGGTAACTTTGTGTGGTTGTTGGTCAAAAAGGCAGCACACATATGATCAGGTCCAGGCTTCTCATAGACAGTGATCTACATTTTATGTATCAAACATGTAAACTTCCATACTCAAGTACATAATATTACTATTAGTACTATTAAATTTAGGTTTTATATACTGATAGTATAAATTTTGTTACACCATCAGCTCAATTTGCAAATGTAAGTTATCACTCTATTGTTCATGTTACCACATATATTTGCTATAAGAGTTATATGTTGTTGCTTGGTGTATAAAAACTTATACATTATCAGTACATAAAACTTACTATAAATTACTGCTAAATGTTCGTTAAATTAAAGCTGGTTATGAGTTAAGAAGTCCTTAATCACCTCAAGATTCTCGTTAATCTTTTGTACGGTGGGAGTACCCCAAAGAAGAGCTCTTCTCGACAATCTTAATGCCCTGTGCAAGTCTCTCAAGTGACTCCATTTGGGATCCCTCATTAAACCTAATAAGAGCCATATACTCAATCTTTGATTAAATCAAATAATGGTTGAATGGTACTATTAATTGATTGTACTTTTCAAAATAAAGCTTAAGATGAGCCTAATTACCAAATTCATCAAGAGGGGCTTCATCATAATAACGAGTAGTCACGAAAGAAGAGCTTGTTCTTCCAAAGTTGGTTCCACCATAGTACTGGAAAAAAAAAAGGAAAATTAATTTAAATCATATTCAAAATTATACTTCGATAGACTATAGGCTAAAAGTTGATGAGTAAATAATAATAAAATACCATGTAATAGTTTGTAAGAGTTCCATTCTTTGCAAAGAAACGAGCCACAGAAAAAGCAAGATCTTCTGCTGATCTTTGTGCTGGAGGATCTCCATAAGTTCTATACCTGTACTTCATTTTTGTCAACTTTAGCAGTTTAAATACAGATATAAAACTACCAAATATTAGACAGATAAATATTTATGTTGTTAGAGCAATATAACCTGCTATAGAAGGCTATTCACCTTTATTTTTTGGGTTATTAATCCCACTAATTCGAGATAATCATCACTAATTACCTATAATATGAGTTGAGTGTAAACTTTTTCTAAGCTATCAAAATAGTATCTAGAAGTAAACCCTTATTATATTCACCGTCAGTGTAAAAAATATTTATATAATCAAGTGAAGTACAAGGTAATTACATATAAATACCTATAATAAGAATCAATTGATAATCTGGTAGGAATGATAATTGACTAATTATCAGGGTTAATTTCACTGATGGTCATCCAACTTATCATTTATTTCACAAAAGTCACTTAACTATTTTTCATCACTTAAAAGTCATTCAACTTTACCTTTGTAGCTTAAAAGTCATTCTAGTTCAAAACCTATAAAATATCCAATAAAAAATATGACATGGCATTAAATTTAATTAAAAAATCTAACAATAATGCCACATAAGCTTAAATAGACCATATCTAAGTTAGACCCATTTCTTGTTCAGCCCGATTTGCCCATAACCCAAATGAGTTTTAATATTTTGACAATTAGAAGGAAAAGAAGAGAACAATTATTTTGTACTAAAAATATCTTACTTAATTTGTTACATAATAACTTTAATACCACCACCTATAATTTCATTAAAAATCTTAACAGAACTAGTACAGAACCAGTTTTTGCATCCTTCATATCATTTTATAATTTTTCATGAAGTTAAAATACTACCATTTCAATCTCACATAACAATTAAATGTACCACTAACAGACAAGAACAACAAGCTAATAAGAACCTATTTTCACAAATTACTATTCCATTAAAATCAAAAAATTATTTATTAAGCAATACTAACAGATAAAAATATTGCTCAGTAAGAAACACCCATAATGAAATTGCATAGTAAAAATTGTCAATACACACCACAATCGTAGACATACTATAGCGATAATTTGGACAAAAGAAAGAGACAACATATTGTGTCATTGGCCGTAAATGTACTACCAAAACCTAAAGATAAATTCAAAAGACCTAATTTTTCTTAAATTTCTTAGACTTCTTTTTCTACAAATTAACCACAAAATAAAAGTGCCAGTCCAGTTAATTGTTCAAATATTAATAATCCATTTTGGTTATAGGTCAAATCGGGCTGAAAAACAAATTGGTCTAACTTAGATATGTTCTATTTAAGTTTATGTGGCATTATTGTTAGATTTTTTAATTAAATTTAATGCCATGTCATATTTTTTATTGGATATTTTGTAGATTTTGAATTAGAATGACTTTTAAGTTACAAATGTAAAGTTGAATGACTTTTAAGTGATGAAAAATAGTTAAGTGACTTTTGTGAAATAAATGATAAGTTGGATGACTATAAGTGAAATTAGTTAAACTACATTGATAGCACACACAAAAAAAAAATTAACTGACCAACTATCACAAGTTAAACTACATTGATAGTGAAAATTCTTTTATGCCGTTTACTTATATATCTTTAATTCCATTAGACATTAAGAAAAGATTATACTTACTGCGCAGTCCAATTTTCAGTCCACAAAGAAGGTTTGTTGGGACCATTAGGGCCTGTGAAAGTATCCCCACAATGCCTTCCATTGCATGTGTTTATCTGCAGAAATCATAGGAAAAAAGAAAGGAAGAAAAAGAAGAGTTTTTAAACAATTTTTTATTTTTATTTTTACTTTCTAACTTTTTCCTACTATCAATTTGGTTGCCTTGTAATGAAATGGTAATAATCATTTTCCAGAACAAAATGAATATTACCACAGATGGAGGGGCATCCTTTTGCTTGCACATGATCCAGGGGACTCCATTGTATAATCCCACAGCCATATTTGCTGCCCACTCAATATATTTCTTTCCGTTTTCTTTATAAGCTAGCTGGACATTATTGTACTCATTTTCTATCTGTCACGATTAGTACGCTATCATTAAAGATATAATTAATTAAATAAATGTTCGATCTCTAGCCGTTTAAGATAAGTTGGTCACACAAATTCAATAGTCAATCATGATCACATATCAAGAAGCAACGTGCAAATTTCGATTTAACCGATAACCCGAACGGTAAATAAATTAGGAAGAGACCTGTGCCAGGATGATGGGACCTCCTTGAGGTGCAAACAATTTCTCCTTTTTCATCAGCTCAATGACCATTTCTGCGTATTTTTTCATGTGGTACTGCAAAGTGGAGAAAATAAAAAAAGAGGGAACAAAATGACTTAATTAGTCATTAAGAAGTAAGTTTATTATTAATCAAGAGCAATTTTTATATGTTTTTGCATGCATGCACGATATTGTGATCGATTACATACCACGAATGGCTCGTTATAAGAACGGAATGTGATATTTTTAACTTCTCTTAGCCAGTATGGGAACCCTCTGTTTCATTATCAATATTCATTAGGCCATAATCAAAATAAGGACAAAAAAGTAGAGAAAATTAACAAAACATCAAAAAGTTAACTAATATCGTGTATACCCTGAAGTCCATTCTGCTTCAATGTAAGGACCAATTCTCAGAGTTACATACAGGCCCTGTTTACCGATCTCTTTGATAAACTTGACAATGTCATAATTTCCTTCAAAATCGAACTGCAAATAAAACACAACAAAGATTCTCGATATGCTCTTTACAAAAATAAAAACTTAAATCATTTAGACAAGAGTAGACCGTGGTAGCCAAGAATTCTTAAAAGATAATTTAAAAAAGAAAAAGAAATTGCAAGAGTGATACATTTGGAATTCAAAGCTGTGTGACAACTATACACTAGAATCTTCTTTTATGAAAAGGAGATTCAACAATTTTTATATATGCAGCAAATTTATTTTTGCCCTATTTACACAATAATTTTTGAATGGAAGGATTTTCATTTGGACACCCTTGAATTAAAGTAGGTTTTGTAAGTTCAACCAAAACTTTTTGGCTTGATTATGCATTAGTACATATACAAAAAGATTTTATGTTTGTATGTTTATATTTCATTCATTCTGAACTCTCTAAGATTTATAAATTTTAAATTCGTCTCTAACAGGATCGAGGTAGTGTTTACCTGGCCTTGAATGGGCTCGTGAATGTTCCAAAACACATAGGTCTGAATGAGATTAATACCTCCTTCTTTAGCTTTCCTGATAATGTCTGGCCACATCTGGGGAAAAAAATTAATCAATAAATTGCTGGTATTAAACATGTCAAAATTAAAAGACTGGCAATTGAGAATTTTAAGTTACCTCAGGAGGGCTACGAGGATAGTGAATCGAACCAGAAAAGAACAATTCTCTGTTTCCATTGACGATTAAGGAACGACTATCGTAAGTGACGCCACGTGGCTTTTCGGCGGCTCCGGTCGCCGATGAAATCAACGAGAAAATCAGGAGGGCTAACGTTAATAATATCTGATTTTGTTTAGCCATTTTGTTTTTTGTTTTTTTAAGTACTAATATTTTATTTTTAGTTTTGGATAGTGAGTGTAAATGAAAGAGATAAGAGGCTATTTTGATGCCGGCGGATAACCATTCTTGAATTATCCTATGCAATGTAAAGAGATTAATTTACTGTTTTAGCTAACAATTACCCTATATCGGTAATTATGGGGCTTGTAGGATTTCTCGTATTTTTCACGATCTATATGTTTTTGTGTTTTGTTAAATGCTTGTGGTTTTCCTTAAATTCTACATGCATCTCTCTCCTCCCACCCGCACCCCACCCCTTTTTTCTCTTTCTTTTTGTTAAATTAAAGAGTTTAACTTACTTTAAGATTTAACTTACACTCGATGCAGACTACAAAATAAAAATTGCACTAATTTGAAGTACTTTTCAACGTCTTATAAGTTCAATTAAACTCATAACTAAATTGTTGAATCCACTCTTGTTTTTCCATGATAAATTTGCAACCCCATGGCATATGGTGCACGGGTACTATGCACATGAGGGAATGGATGAGCATAGCGCGTTATATAATTTGAAGAATCTTTTCAAAAATCTCTTGTGTGTTACTGTGTCTCACGGGTATATGCATCGTGCTCTTATATATGCACCGGTACAAAAAACAATATTGATACATGTCACACCCCTTTTATGCCCCTCAAAACGATAATGTGTGTTATGGATGGTGGGTTAAAGAGTTTCTCCAATTAAAGTGACAAACTTAAATAGGGATTATTTTATTTATAGAGTCGTCACTTGAAATTGATTTTTTGGGTGTTCCAAGTTACCTTTTGTTTGAATCCCTAGTCAAAGGAAGATTTGACTCTTTTATTATTGGTCTGCAAAACAAAGTCAGCGTAAGAAATTCTGTTGACCGGGGAGAAGGTGTAAGGCATTCCCCGAGTCCCGTGGTTCTAGCACGGCCGCTTTATTGACTACAACTTGGCTTGAATTAATTTTGGATAAATTGTGATTTATTGGTTTCCGTATTTTATCTATCCGCTTTTAATTATTAAAATATGAAATTATCTTTGAAACGAATTATTTGTGTGAATCCGTTTTGTTTATTGTGCCAAAATCATGTCTCGCGTACGTGTACATAATTAATAATATTTTATTATATTAAGATTGTTTTGCCCAAAATTGCGCTAACGCATACTTCAATTTTAATTTTTGAAAATCATAACTATGTCACGCGAACGTATACATAATCACAATAATTTATTTATTAATACGCGCCTAAAGAATACTAGCGATTATTAAGATTTATTTTTTAATTACATCAACTTTATTGTAAGACTAAAGTTATAGAAGAATATTGTAAGAAAGATGGAGTAATTTAGTTATATGAGCTAGCTATATGTAGACCCAATTAAACTTAAAGAAAGATCATTTCTCGTTATCCAAGAAGAAAGAAAGCAAATTCTCCTACCCACTTTATTGAAACAGTTTCATCTACAATTACTGTCAAGTCCAATTATCATTGTTTTAAGTCTAAACATGACCCATTAATATGGCACCAAAACCTTTAATTTTGAATAAATCTTATTCAACTAATCTATTTAGCACTTAACTTTATACCTACAGAAGAAATCTAAAGCTATAAAAAGAGGAACAATTGTAACGAAGAAACCAGCGTGGCAAATCCTCACGTGAACTCTCATTTCCACATAAAGATACCAAGAACAATATTCAGTAATTTGAGCAAGAATCTCGTAACAATATCATCCGCAAACATTAACTCAAACATCATTCACATGATAATGAAGATAGAATTATAACATAATCACAGTAATATTTGATCCGGCTAAAATAAACATTAAGAACATTAAAATAATGTATTTATGCCAGAACAAAAATAGTAGAACAAGAGATATGACCTTTATTGCTAAAATTTTCAGCAGGTATAGTGAAGAAGAAGCTCACAAACAGTAATCCTCAAACGACGCTAGGAACTAGAAACTCGAATCGGAATCGGCAACCCCGGATGGACTTAGATCAACTAAGTTCGGACTATAGTTTCGGGCTGATTTTCACACTGATTTTGGAGGTTTGAGTGGTGGTGACAAGACTGTTTAGCGGTGAGCTTAGAGGTTGGTCTAAAGTTGAAAACGGGGTTGTTTTAGTGAAGTTTTTCGCCCCGTTTCGCGGCTAAAACAATGAAGATTTATAGATATTATGTGACTGCCTTTTCATGGAGTTTTTAGCTCGAATTAGTGGAGCCTATGAGCTGGTTTAAGGGGGTCATTTTCGTTGTCTTTTTCCTGAGTTTTTGGTGACGTTTTGGCTAGTTTTATAGAGTTGTTTTTGCTGCATTTATTTTTTTAGCAGAAAACAGGGGCTGGTTTGGGGTCTTTTTTGGATGGATTTCGGGGGTTTTGTCCATTTTTCTTGAACGAGGGACATGTGGGGGGTTGTGAGTGGGGGACCAACATGGGGAACAAGGAAAAGTGGAGTAGAATAAAGAGTGTGGGGACAAGCATGAGGGCAAGCATGGGGGACAAGAGAAAGTAGAATGGGGACAAAGTGTGGGGGACAAAGAGTGGGGACACGCGTGGGAAGATGGGAGCGGGAAATATTCAAGCACGATAAAAAATTAGGTGCTTACAGCATGCCCCTCTTTGCTTGGAAACATTAAAAGTTTTCAGGCAAAGATAAAGTGAGCTGTGTGACTAAGTTTTGACCATATCATTATTCAAAAGAGGAAGAAAATAAAAGAAAAAGGTGCAACCGAGTCCTGGTTTTGGACAGCCTATATATCTCGAGTTATAAGGGAATCAGGTCGCGTGTAGTTCAAGAAGAATGATGGAGTGATGAGTTCGAAAGTCGAGCTAGGTTCCGTCGAGCCTCCGGTTCGTGGCCCTGTTATTACATCAAAATCTAAAGGAACTAAACAAGCCTATCAGCTATAAGTTACAAGATTCCTATTTATAAGTCTTTTGAACCTTGATCTTGAGTCTTGACTGGTTGTTCATGCAGACTCTGATCTGAGCCTTGATGTTTGCTAGTTGTAGGTGCTAGTTCATTCTTCTACGGCTTCTTCTGAACAAAACGGAAAATGTGAAGCTCGTAACTTCAGTCATGTTTTGAGCAGTCCATATCATTTCCATCTGCTTTTGTATTTGGATTCACTTTTTTTTTCTTTATTTTGGATTCAGACTTCTTCTTTTGTTCATCTCAAACCTTGTGTCTCGAGGTAAAACCTGCTCAGACATCACAACAAACAAACAAACGAAATTTTTCTGCCCCAGTTTTCACTAGAAAAAATTTCGTGAGTTATTGTAACAAAATTCTAAACTACTTCTTTATTGAAAGCAAATAAAAAAACAGTAATGGTGTACCTTGAAAAGGTCATGTTGATTTTTTTTGTCCCAAAAGAATATCTCAACTAAGGATTTGTGTACCTTATGTTGGGAAAATGTGGTTAGAGAATGAGATACCCTATATTGGCAATGATATCAGGGAGTGGTGTATCCTGCATTTAAAATCAAATCAACTAGGGAGTGGTGTACCCTATGTTGGAGAACATAGCTAGGGATTTGTGTATCCTATACTGGTAAGGAGATCAGGGATTGGTGTACCCTATGCTGGTAAAAAAATATAACCAGGGGATTGGTGTACCCTGTATTAGTGAGAAAAAAAAATGTAACCAGAGGTTGGCGCCCTGTATTACTGAAAAGGAAATGTAACCAGAGGTTGGCGCCCTATATTACTGAAAAGAAAATGTAACCAGGGGTTGGCACCCTGTATTACTGAGAAAGAAATGTAACCAGGGATTGGTGCCCTGTATTACTGGAAAAGAGATGTAACCAGGGGCTGGCGCCCTGTATTACTGAAAAAGGAAATTGTAACCAGGGGTTGGCGCCCTGTATTAATGAAAAGGAAACGTAACCAAGGGTTTGCGCCCTGTATTACTGAAAAGGAAATGTAACCAGGGGTTTGCGCCCTGTATTACTGAAAAGGAAATGTAACCAGGGGTTGGCACCCTGTATTACTGGGAAAGAAATATAACCAAGGGTTGGCGTCCTATATTAATGAAAAGGAAATGTAACCAGGGGTTTGCGCCCTGTATTACTGAAAAGGAAATGTAACCAGGGGTTGGCACCCTGTATTACTGGAAAAGGAAATATAACCAGGGGTTGGCGCCCTGTATTATTGAAAAAAATGTTGAATCCCCGGGGCGAAAAAGGTCTACCTGGGTTAAACTATGAAAAGCAAACCTGGGCGAAATGTACTTCTACTCGGAATATGAGTTGTATCCCCCTAGGCGAAAAGTTTCTACCCGGGTTAAATTAAGTAAAATAACATGAGTGAAGAGTACTTCTACTCGGAACTATGAGCTGGATCCCCCTAGGCGAAAAAGGTTCTACCTGGGTTAAGCTACGTAAAACAACCTGAGCGAAGAGTACTTCTACCCGGAACTATGAGCTGGATCCCCCTAGGCTAAAAGGTTCTACTTGGGTTAAGCTACGTAAAACAACCTGAGCGAAGAGTACTTCTACCCGGAACTATGAGCCGGATCCCCGTAAGCAAAAAGGTTCTACCTGGGTTACGCTATGTAAAACATCGTGAGCGAAGAGTACTTCTACCCAGAAACTTTGACCTAGATCCTCCTATGCGAAATGGTTCTACCTGGGTTAAGTTACGTAAAATATCCTGAGCGAAGAGTACTTCTACTCGGAACTGTGAGCTGGATCCCCCTAGGCGAAAAGGTTCTACCTGGGTTAAGCTAGGTAAAATATGCTTGGCGAAGAGTACTTCTACCCGAAACTATGAGCAGGATACCCCTAGGTGAAAAAGTTTTACCTGGGTTAAGCTATAAAAATGAGAGGTATGGACAGTAGTGATGCATGCTGAAGATTTTAAGGAGCTTACATTTGGTGACATTCGTCCTTTGAGAACCGCAATTCTGTACTACTTTGTTCCTACTTCAAACAAAGAAAATTTGTGAGTTTTTAAAGTGGTAGTCGGTTTGTGGCCTTGATGCACTGAGGAGTTTGAGTTCATGGACACCCCGTTGTCGAAGAACTTATTCTATCAGAGTGGTACTGAGATGCTCGAATACTTTGTATCATTTTTTGGAGACTTTGTCTTTCTGACGTCTCCCCTGGCTGTTTCATATCCGGATGTCCAC